TGTATGATTCTTTTATAAGCTTTTCGTTCATAAATCGATTAACTATAATTTATTTAATATAAATACCTGGGCACCCAGATTGTGCAACAAACGTATAATAATGATTGAAGCTTATTTATTTAAAATTGTTAGCATGCATATCTTTTTCAAATGTGAATCAATGTAAAATTTCACTTAAAATAATAACTTAATATTTAAACACGTTTGTTTAGAACTATGTAATCTTTTCCATAGAACACGTTCGACATTTATGGTTTTTTGCAAGCTATACCTATGTACATGTGAAGTCGCACATTATATTTTCGGTAAAGAATTATTTTCTTTAAACTGCGTAGGATTTCGGGGGTATGTTTATTCACCAAAAATGATTGTAATTGACCTCTGCAACCGAAAATAATTTTTTTACAATGATTTGAAATTTTTTAATTTCGACGAAAAATTTGTCCTCTTACTGAATTTTTTTCTCGAAAGTGGATAGGATTTCGAGGGTATACCTATTCACCAAAAATGATTGTGATTGACCCCTGTAATTAAAAATAATTTGTTTAAAACGATTTGAAAGTATAGTGCTCAACATTTAGCATGCTGGTCTGAGTTTTTCACTCAGAAGTTAAACAAATTAATTTTTATGGTCAGATATTAAGGAAAATGAAACTGCACAGAACCCATGTCTACAATTTTCTACGAAGTTACGTAATTCAAAAATTGTGAATGTTTCGGTCAAGCGTCATATTTATGATCGATAGTATACGTGTGTAAAAAATGTTTGGTTTTTTACAGGGAATCTTAAAACATGTTTTTCTGTTAAAAGAATTTTCTCGAAATTTATCTTGATATTTCCCTTACGCGCGACGCAGTAAATAAACCTCAAACGAAATTTCGTAACTCTCGATTTCCATCTTCTCAAGGGCTCCATAATATATTCTCTGTATACATATACATACCTATTGTTTACAGTATATATACAGAGTGTTCCGCATTTTACACACTTCAGCAGTGTGTTCCACAAGTAAAAATAAGACTAAAGAGGTTATATAACAAAAAATTCATAAATATTTTGTTAAGAAGTTATGACAATAATATTAAATGTGACGTTTTTTTATTTACTAAAATTTTGTTTAAAGAGAGCAGTTGCTAGTTGAGGTACGAAGAAATATTTTTGACGTAGAATTATGTGGATAAACATTTTGGATATAGTATTCTTTCTTCAACGATAACTTTTTATTGTCATAAAATTTTGAACTGTTGTCTAAATTTATGTTCTGTAAATTGCATAGAAACTCACGATATTGAATGCTTGCAAAAGATTTATTTTATTTTATCAATCTCAACCGAGTTTCACAGTTCATATTTTTGTTATAACTTCTTAACAAAGCATTTATGGATTTCTTGTTATATAACATTTTAGTCTTAGCTTTACTCGTAGAACACACTGCTGATGTGTGTACGGAAAAACGCGTAACACCCTGTACATATATTGTATCAAGTTCGAAACTCAAATTGGTTCAAAACGATAAAACATTAATAAGCAAATGTTATTTCCGAATTAATTAAAATAATAATATCTTGTGACACGTATCGTTCGTAGAACGCGTTTTATCTTCTTCCGCATTAATCAGCTAATTTAAAATCCCGCGCGGTTGCGTCAAATGGTGCTCCTTAAGAATTCAAAACAAAGCACCGCGCGTTTGGCCGACATAGTACGCAAGAAAGACAACCGACTTCGGTTGGCCGTTCACTTCTCTTACAGAAACGCGTTACTTATAACGCGTATAACGTGTTGCAAGGTAGGGATAGACATCGAATGGAAAGAATGGTCTACCTTGCAGGTTGTCAGTGACCACAGGTCTTCTAAGACCGGCAGACGATCGTTTAAGTTGCATCGGGATCCATATTGTTTCGCCTCACTGCGACGCGCCTCGACCAGTCCCTTCAACAACGAGAATCCTGAGTGTCGCGGTTAACGTCATCGTCGATCATCGAAATCGAGTCGCCAACTCGTGTCAAAATTCAAAGGCCCTTCCATTGAAAAATGAAATTCGCGATCGATCGCGTATTTAGAAGATTACACCGACACACGCGACGAACACTGTTCAGCGATCGATCGTCGACTGCAGTTAGGAAAACACAAAATCCAACAACGCTGGCAGGACTCGAAACTTTATTAAATGGTAATTCTCACCCGACCATGATGCAATCTCATAAATGTTAATCGACGATCAGTGCTAACGTCACAGACGTTTTTCTTCCGCCGAGAAATGAAAAGGACGTTGTGGAAAACTGGCTTCGCGAGGAGAAAAAATGATCGGCTGTTCGCGCACGGATCGTCAGAGTCGCGCGATATAAAATTCAACCTATCATCGGCGACGGATTACAATCGAAGCGTACCCGCGAAACATTCGCGCCATCCTTTCGCCGCGATACACCTGAGAAAAACAGCCCTTCGTTCGCGACGAAACGTGCCGAACGCCATGGCGCGTCTGTGTTTCGTCAGATCGACAAAAAATGTGATCAACATGTGACACGTGATTTGGGGGAAAAAATTTTGTACACCGGAAAATTGCCGGAAGGCAGAGCCAAATCATGCGAGATTCTGTGAGCCTTGGGATCAAAAATTTGGTCCACTCTAGCCCAGGATGCTTCGATCCAGAGTTACAGTATTTCTGGACGAGTGCATAATTTATATGACGAACGAACCACCAGCTGATAACAGGAAAAAGGCTGGTTGACGGGTTTGTTATAGATCGAGGAGGAATCAGTTGAAGAACAATCGTAGAGATTCGCATTTCGGAAAGATCGAGAAAGTTTTCGAAAACTGTCGCGGATGGAAGAAGTAGAAGAAAATCGATCGAGCGAACGCGAGGAAGTAACAAGTGTTAGGTGTTGGACGATCATCGTTATCCACGCAGTGCATTGAAATGTTCTTGTGTAAGATCCTTGACTTCTTGATACTGAAGCCACTGGGAAGGGGGTTACAGAATGAAACGCATAAAAAGATTCGTCTTGGCTCAAAGAACAGAGGAAGATCCGATTTGGAAGAGTTCAGACAACTTGATGGCCGGCACTAGTGCATCAAAAATGAACCCGATAATTACCGTGGATGGTAATCCTTATTCGGAGGATGAGCCGCCCCAAGGACAAAGGACTACGACCGCGGGATTAAAGTAATTCACTTTACTGTTTTGACATTGTCGCAAGATGATTGTTGGTGAATTAACCCCTTCGTACTCGTGCCTGGACGCAGTGAACATTGTTTCTCATTTTCATTTTCTAACGCGCGTCAAAAGCAAATTAAAATTTGGAAAATGATTACCAGTGGCGTATAGTACAACGTTAAAGAATAATCCTTAAAACGCTCTATTGATACTGCGACTGGCGTTTATCGTAAATGATACGATAAAGTGGGCATGAAGGGGTTAAAGTCAAAAATCGACTTTAGAAAAATTATATGGACCGATTGAAATAATTTTAACGATCTACCCTGCAGGGAACCGGTGGATGTAATAAACGATGGTAATTAGAAAATATTGAAACTATTATTTGTTTAACATTGGGAATTCAGCTTCGCAGAGGTACGAGTTTATCGTGCAATTCGGTGTGGGGCGAATATTCGCTTTCGTATTCGTCGTTGATATCGGAAACCTTCGCGTTATCTTAGATTTCGTTGACGTATAATATTTTTATTTTCTGGGTTTAGAGTCGCACAACTAAGCTATACTAGCTATACAGGTCCTTGAAATTCTGAAAGTAAGAATTGCGAGGGAGACAGGTTGAACTTTAAAACGTGAGCTAAAATTGTGGGTTTCGTTTTTTTCACCTCGAAAGCAAACCTGACAAACAATCGATCGAACTACAACGAACGAATAATTCGAAGTCTATAGACAATAATTCCGTTAAGACGTCGAAACGATCAGGAAAAATTGAAATTCGAAAGAATGTGTTTCAACCTTAGCAGGAATTAAATTTGCTCGTCTCTGGACTGTAAGTAACGATTACATAACTTCTCCAAATTTATATGCATGTCCGACGATTCGAGATCACCGAGATCCATGACAAGAAATTTGTCGCTGAAATTCGATGCTCGATAAAATGTTCAACCTTGTCTTATTGTAATCGAGCAAACGCGATGTTTAAAAATTTTTTTAATTAAAATAAACAGTGTAGTATTTAGCGAGTTCGCGCGTACTCGTACGAATACTGATCATTCACGGTACAAATTGCAACATAATTTAACAGAGGAAGAGAAATGTTCGTAAATGAATAAGAAAAGCATATTTAAGGCGAGATACATAGAAGGCTCAGAAAGCGTTACGAAGTTGTAGGAAAGGCATTGCGTGATCCGCCTAAATTAACGGTTCATATACTTTCTCTGCTGTCATTCACATGTTCCCCACTAATGGTCGTGCATTACCTTGAAAAATTGAAGAACACGATTCCTTCCATTTTGCTCCAAAATACGCTTCTTCGATTATATCAAAACTGAGTTTACTTCAACTAGAAAATTCACCACTCGACAATATTTATTCGATATCTATTTTATTTAACACATTGACCTCCTGATCAAATTCGTAAAATTTTCACATGGTTAATATTTCATTTTTAGACAACTGGGAACTACTTTGTTGCAGTATTTGCTTCTGTAACGTCGTCGAAATTCATAATTTCTATCCAGATTTATTTGCATCAATATCTAAGATCAATTTGTTTAGCTCGTCGATGAAAAGTCCTGTCACCCACGTTTGGATAACGTTGCTATCGACGTATTAAATGTGTAAAACGTCTTTAACAAAGATTTATCTTACAAAAGATCGTAACTTTAATAATAATAGGTTAAATTCAGGACAATGTTATGAACTGGTGGTCGTGTTATAGACGATCGCCATGAAATCCTTTCAATTCTACAGTGTCGATTTCAGAGAATGATCGACACATGGATTAAAGTAGTTGATACACGTGGCTTGTACAGTGAAAAATATTCCGTGTTTAATTTAATTTCGTAGGCCCAGCATGTCGCAGGGCACGGTGATGATCCAAGCGCAGAGTAGGCTCCAAGAAAAGGACTTCACCATCGCCACGCCTGAGGAATTTGTTCATCGTTTCGGCGGTAGCAAAGTCATCAATAAGGTAAGACGTCCTATTTACCCATGTTCTGGAATTTTTCTATAAAGTGTTCGTTCTCAACAAGTGGAAAGCTAACACGCTATGTCTATGTTTCATTTATTAATAATTATCGGTCTATTTCATTATCAATTGTCACCTTCGATCTATTTCATTTATCAGTAATTACTAATTCTTCGCGCAAAACTTTTTTAAATTTCCTTTTACTTTCATTTTTTTAACAATCGAACGCTTAATCAATTCGTCGAAAATTACCGATAATCTTGCTTTTGAAATAAAAATTATAATTGAAAATCAGCGATATTGTTCGCAGGCGATGATAGAAGTGCAAGTTTTACATCTGTCGTGGTATATACCATTCCGACGTAAAACTACATTCCTTGATATCTAGGCGAGTCTTGAACATTGCACTTTAAACTATTCTTTTTACGTTTACGCGCTTCTTATTAAAGCGTACATATCTTATCTTTTTATCGTTTGCCACAGTTCGACGTTCGAATCCGTCTAAATTATGTGGCTCTCGTTACACGTTTGGAGAGAGAGAAAAAAATATTTGAAATGAAAGTTGGTTGGCGTACAGGAAAGAACGGTCGCATGGTGGGAATTTTTTATTCGTAGATAAAAGTGTCACGATCGTTACTTTTTAAATGAAATATTGGATAACCGAGCAACGTTCCATGTTGGATTCCGTTTCGAAATAAACGTAACTACGATAGGTAGAAGGCCCTTTTAACAAATTAAGTAGCATTCGCGTCGATCCACAAAAGAGTGAACGAAATATACTGACGCGATGTACGCGTGGAAATTACACACTGTATTAATATTTTTAAAAATAAGTCAATGATAAATTGTAAACCAAGAAAAAAAGTAATTTAAGTATTAAGATAGAAAAAGGAATCTACAAAATTTGGCAATTAAACGGTAGCAATTTCAATTGTGATAATACTATTAATAATAACAATAATAAAGCAGGTCATTCAACGCGCAGATGTATCGCTCTACTCGAGTATGTTCACTCACTCAACGTACCGACTCCCAATGAACATTAACCGGCCACAGCTTCATAACTGACCTTGAATGACCTTGAATAATACATTCGTATATACCTGTTCCAGCGTCACTCAACGCAATATAAATATATAGACATATCATTAGATTTAAAAAAAACCATCATCAGTGTGACCTTGAAGTAACTAAGAATTTCACCTAGAAATATAGGATGATCCAATACAAATAGACGTATCTTCAAACGTATTAAAAAATACTGACGGTTTTTAAGAGTCGTACCAAATTATTTTTATTCGCAATATTCTCCCTCATCTCTGTAAATAGACTCAAATGACTTACATTGAGTACCTCATCTTATATTTTCGTATTACGTAATGCTACTTTAATCCTTTGGGTGCGATGGTCGCATAGAAATTATAATAGGAATTATGCAATTATTTGAAGGATAGTAATAGGAAATTTCTTTTTTCATCATTAAGAGCATTTTACTTTATTTCGACAAACTAGTTTTGTACTTAACATTTTCGTCGAAATATGAACTTACTTTCTACTTGAATAGTTCCAGACATCCTTTGAATTAATTTTACGATTGTATTTTTAAAAATATGTATTCTTTCAACATTCATTTAGTAATTTCCACAATTTTTTTTTACAGAGAACAATGTTCACGATCGTATCGATCAAGTTCTTCTCACAACGGTTTAATTAATGACAAGTGACTGTGGTGATTACTCATATTTTTGTTTAGATTTCCCTGTTGTTCTTGATTTTGCACACAGTCTCTAAACATTTGAATGTTGTATCGTGAAACCTCGGTCCGTTAAATAAAATCCAGATAGTACTGCATGCTGTTCTAATAATCATCGATTCCAATGAGAGTTCCAATTTCATTTCTTTACTTGATTGTCGATTATTATGTATCAAATATTTCAAAGTTAGACTCGACGATCTAAAATCCCTTTTTCCACTCCTCGATTATCCAATTTACATATTCTCTAGCTTACTACAAATATTTCTTCTAATTCATTGGTCGAAGAAGTGGTTTTCCGAATGACAACACGACCAGACTAGTTCGCGTCTCTCAAACGTTTTTTAACGGTCGTCCGGGAACATATCTTGATTTCGATTCATTTCTGACCTAATTTCCAGTGCTATTAACTTTCTATATCTTTTGCTCGCGATGACTATGAACTTGAACTCCTGTTTAGACGTTACTTTTGGACGATTAGATGGAAATATAGAAATAAAATATGAAAACTACGTTTTTTGATACGTTTAATTCCTCAGCGATATTTCTCCCACTTTTACCGTGTTTATGTATTTAAGTACAGATAAGATTCTGTATCTTTCAGGTGCCACTATTAATTTTAAGCTACATAATTCTTTATTTACAATCTCCAGAGGCACTTCTCCAAAGTTCCAAAACACAGTAAAGAGAACTGCGTGTCATAGTAGAATACTTCCTTAAGAGGGACGTACTGTCTACTACTTACTGTCTGTCATTTTTTCGGCTCCTTTTGTAATTTTTTTCTTAATGATAGGTGGGCTGTTTTATTCTGAGATATTGCAGATATATTTGTTCATCTTATAAGTATGTACAGTATTTTTTTCATAAAAAAATATTAAAAATTGTGGGAGTTATAACTTATTATAAATTCAAATTTCGAATTTCTATTCTTTAACCTTTCTTTTGTCTCTAGCATATTAGAAGAAATAGTAAAACTCAATATTTTTTCAAATCTCTCATTCCAGCTATAAAGGCGTGTCTGCTGAATATTCTCTCCAAATTTAAAGTCAATCGGTCAGCTAGATCTTGAAACATCATGGAAGCCAGTTTAAAAAAACGCATTTAAACAAGAAGTTATAACTCTCAGAATTTTTAATATTTTTTTATGAGAAAAATACTATACATAGTTATAAGATGAACAGATATGTCTGCAAAATCTCAGTACAAAACTACCTATCGTTAAAAAAAAAATCACAAAAAAGGTCAACAAAATGACAATCTGGACAGCAATACCCCCTTAAGTTTTGACAGTCGCAAAATTTCATTGAAAACGCAAGGCGAAATGTTGTTCTCGATCTCATCGATGATCTTGATTTGCAGATCCTCATCGCTAACAACGGAATAGCAGCGGTGAAATGTATGCGTTCGATTCGTCGTTGGTCCTACGAGATGTTCAAGAACGAACGCGCTGTGCGCTTCGTCGTGATGGTCACCCCGGAGGATCTGAAAGCGAACGCGGAATACATAAAAATGGCGGATCAGTACGTGCCTGTGCCCGGTGGAACGAACAACAATAATTACGCCAACGTGGAGCTGATCATCGACATCGCCATACGGACCCAGGTTCAGGCGGTGTGGGCGGGATGGGGTCACGCTTCTGAAAATCCAAAGTTACCGGAACTGCTTCACAAAAATAACATCAGTTTCATTGGTACGTCGATAACATGCAATATCGTTGCTGCATTTTCTATTAAATCACCTCACTTTAATTGTACGCTTAATCGTTCAATTTGTCATTGACCTTTGTTCAATGTTAGTTCCGCCATAGAAGCAAACAATAGTTCTTACCGCGATAATTATATTTGTATTATACTATTGTAAATTATAATTGCGTTATAATTTATTAAAGAAATAAACAATTCTTTTAGGGCCATCCGAAAGAGCGATGTGGGCTCTTGGAGACAAAATCGCGTCCAGTATAGTAGCGCAAACCGCGGAGGTACCAACGCTTCCTTGGTCAGGATCAGAACTGAAAGCTCAGTACAGCGGAAAGAAGATAAAGATATCTTCCGAGCTCTTCAAAAAAGGATGTGTATCGACAGCTGAGGAGTGTATAGCAGCGGCCAATAAAATAGGCTTTCCCATAATGGTAAAAGCCAGCGAAGGAGGTGGTGGTAAAGGTATCAGAAAAGTAGAGAATGCTGAAGAATTGCCTACGTTGTTTAGGTAAGCCAAAATATCTTGTTGCAGAAAATGTAGTCCGCGTAATACTTTAATGAACATTTATATTAAGAGTCCTGAAAACTGTTCTCAGGCAGGTACAAACTGAGATACCTGGATCTCCTATATTTATTATGAAACTGGCAAAGTGTGCGCGACATTTGGAAGTTCAATTGTTGGCTGACAATTACGGGAACGCGATTTCGTTGTTCGGTCGTGATTGTTCCATTCAGAGGAGACATCAAAAGATCATCGAGGAAGCTCCGGCCGTGATTGCCAAACCTGAAGTTTTCGAGGAAATGGAGAAAGTAATTATAAATTCAAGTATTCTAAATATAATTCTAAAAGCAGTATAACAAATTGCAGTCATACTTAGTTATTATTCAATAATTATTCAGTTAACTTGCAAGGGCGCAAGATCCTCGGAATACCGATTTAACTGTAACTTTGTATACTGGTAGATTTCGACACCCTCCTTGCAGAAATATAACATTATAGGGTCAGAAACTCAATATTTTATAGTTATTAAAACTTGTCATGTTGACTGTTACATTAAAGTAGGGCATCGATCAAATTTAACTTGCATAAATTGCTAACAAATAATATTGATGTGTTCTGTAATCTTAAATATGGAATCCAATAATGGTCAATTTGACAGATTCCGTAAATCTAATGTTGAGAAACAAAAGACATATTAGAGGAATATAATGATTATTTCATAACTAAATCCCTAACTTTCACCCTTGGCTGTAGGCCCTCTTTAACGAACTGGCAATGCAGTCTAAATGTGTATCTTCCCAGTCGGTAGTATTGATGTGTTCAAACAAGCCATTATCATAATTTAATTCTTTGTACTCGAGAGCATTTTAAGGTTTCATGAGATTTTATCAATTATGCATGAATTTATTAATGTATATTTACATTTCATAATGTTTTAAGGTGTGATATCTTTTGGAACGATTGCCTGAATCAAGCCCGGATTTTTTGTTACAGCTATCATAAAAACAACCTGTTTGTATGTTTTCTCCAGACTTATGTAAGCTTTCCGCTAAGTAATTGAAACATTGTTTGTTGTCGCTGTCAGATACTGGCTCTGTTCATAATTCGAATGCTTGGAAATGTACAATCAACTGCATTAACAATTTCAGTTGAAATACATAAGCATTTGTTTCTGTCATAATTATACTCGCCTTTGGCTACCAACGTTTGCCCTAAAGAATTTATCATTTTCAGTCGATAATGTAGTAGAATTTATGATATGATCTCTTTTTAAGCTCAAAGCTTGTAGTACCAATGATATTTCTTCATTAAAATTTCGTAAGGATACTAAATCGTTTCTAAATGTATTTTCATTCGGATACACATTACATCTAGATGTAACAGTTGTAACTCATTACAATTACTTTGATATTTAATATCTTCACACGCATTCTGTTTTGTTTTACTGCACTTTTTTATTTCACTTTTATCACTCAGTATAGTAGAATCATAAATTTTCAAATGAAACTCTCTCCGTCGATTCTGATAGTAATTTTTTTCTGTACATATCTGTACACTATTTGTTTATGTCTAGAAAGGATTTGTTATCCGTCTGATATCTTGAGTGATCACACACCATTTATTTATTTTTTACGCTATAAATTCAAGTGTTCGTGTTCAAACACTATAAACTCGATAATACGTATCCATATCTGCCATTGATTAAAATCTCTATAAATAAATCCTCCGTGTCCTCGTATACTTGTGTATAATACGACGATGCAAAAATATTCACGTTCAGCTCGACTGCCGGAAAGACTGCAATGCCAGTACATCTGACATTCCGAGTGATAAATATCTCGAGATATATATATTATTTATATTAATGTGCTTGTATAAACTGCAATACGTTTATCAAAATAAGGAAAGAGAAAAGAAAAATATTTTATTGGAAGTAAATGACAAAAGTAAATGGTCAATAAACTAATCAGATTTTAGAGATATTGATCAAGATTAAATGAAACTTATTTAAATACCCCTTTTTGAATCATTTATCGTCTTTTATGTTTGTATATTCATATTATGTTCTTTCGAATTCATTACTGAAAAAGACCCAAATATCTATAAATATAGTATAGAAACGCATACTTTTATTAGACTGCATTAATTTTCTAAACATTTGCAAGTACAGTATATCTGTGTAGTTTGTTTATTACAAAAACGTATATTAAAATCATCGTGGCTTTTTGCTCGTTATAGCCATGATATCTTTATATCCATGCTCTTGTTATAACCGAATCGACTATAATTATAAAATGAACTTGTTACTCGTTTGAAAAAATAATTTTTATTATATTTTCTTTTTCGTGATAGGCTGCCGTAAGGCTGGCCAAAATGGTTGGGTATGTCAGCGCAGGTACTGTCGAATATCTTTACGACACTTCCGGGCGGTATTATTTCTTGGAACTAAACCCACGTCTCCAAGTGGAACATCCTTGCACGGAGATGGTGTCGGATGTAAATTTACCTGCGGCCCAACTTCAAATTGCCATGGGATTACCGCTTCACCATATTAAAGATATTCGGCTTCTTTATGGTGAAAATCCGTGGGGCGACAGCGTCATCGATTTCGATCAGCCGCAACATAAACCTCAGCCTTGGGGTCATGTTATCGCGGCGAGAATTACTAGTGAAAATCCTGACGAAGGTGAGGATTATGTTTATACAAAGTAACTTTGTGATATTGAGATTAAAGAATATCAAGGAAGAGAGAAACGTGAACGTCAACAACGTATTCTTCAGGTTTCAAGCCAAGTTCGGGTACTGTTCAAGAATTAAACTTCAGATCCTCGAAGAATGTCTGGGGTTACTTCTCGGTAGGAGCTTCAGGTGGTCTTCACGAATTCGCCGATTCACAATTTGGCCATTGTTTCTCCTGGGGCGAGGATCGTAATCAAGCTCGAGAAAATTTGGTCATAGCATTGAAGGAGTTGTGCATCAGAGGAGATTTCAGAACGACCGTCGAATATCTAATCACATTATTAGAAACGGAATCCTTCCAACAAAATACTATAGATACAGCTTGGCTCGACTTGTTGATCGCTGAACGTGTTAGGAGCGACAAACCGGACGTATTGTTGGCGGTAACGTGCGGTGCGCTTCATATCGCTGATAGGACTATTACTGCCGCTTTTACTGGATTCCAAACAGCATTGGAAAAAGGACAAATACAAGCTAGCAATGATTTAGAGAATGTCATGGACGTAAGTAGCACCGTTTTTTTACTTCTATGTATAAAAAAAATTCTTGCTAAATATTTAAATAACAAACGAAAGAGTTTATTTAAAAAAAGACTAGATTTCGAAACGACAAACAAAAATCCTCCTTTAATATATTTAACAAAACTTTGAATCACGCTTCTATTTTAGGTTGAACTCATCAATGATGGATACAAATACAAAGTACAGGCTGCCAAGTCAGGTCCTAATAGTTATTTTCTTGTCATGAATGGTTCCTATAAAGAAGTAGAAGTACATCGATTGTCGGACGGAGGTTTGCTGCTCTCTCTGGATGGTGCTAGTTTCACAACTTACATGAGAGAAGAAGTAGATCGTTACAGAATCATCATAGGAAATCAAACGTGTGTCTTTGAAAAAGACAACGACCCCTCTTTGCTGAGATCACCTTCGGCCGGAAAATTGGTTAGCTTTTTGGTCGAGGATGGCGGTCATGTTAATTCTGGGCAAGCCTATGCAGAAATCGAAGTCATGAAAATGGTAATGACAGTAACGGCAGGCGAAGCTGGCAGTGTTTTTTATGTTAAAAGGCCAGGCGCCATCCTCGAAGCCGGTACGTTGATTGCACATTTGGAATTGGACGACCCATCATTGGTAACAAAAGCTCAAGAATACCTGGGTCAGTTCCAGGAAACTGAAGCTCCCGGCGTATCTGAGAAATTGAATCATCTTCACACTAAGTATCGAAGCTCTTTGGAAAATATTTTGGCAGGATATTGTTTACCAGATCCGTATCACCTACCGCGAGTGCGCGAGCTGCTTGAAAAATTTATGAATTCCCTTCGCGATCCTAGCCTGCCTTTGCTCGAGATTCAGGAAGTGATCGCAACGATATCGGGTAGAATTCCAATTTCCGTTGAGAAGAAAATAAGAAAACTGATGTCACTTTATGAAAGAAACATCACCTCAGTTTTGGCTCAATTCCCAAGTCAGCAAATTGCTGCTGTGATCGATGGACACGCAGCCAGTCTTTCGAAGCGATCTGACCGAGATGTCTTCTTCTTAACCACTCAGGCTATAGTTCAGTTAGTACAAAAGTATAGAAACGGAATACGAGGAAGGATGAAGACCGCTGTTCACGAACTTCTTCGACAGTACTACACCGTTGAGAGTCAATTCCAACAAGGGCATTATGATAAGTGCGTTTCAGCTTTAATAGAACAGTACAAAGATGACGTGGCTACGGTAACGGCTATGATCTTCAGTCACAATCACGTCACAAAGAAGAACATCTTGGTAACTATGCTGATAGATCATCTATGGGAGAACGAGCCTGGACTTACCGACGAATTATCAAGTACGTTAACAGAACTGACGAGCTTGAATCGTACGGAACACAGTCGGGTTGCATTGCGTGCCAGACAAGTCTTAATCGCCGCTCACCAACCAGCTTACGAATTGAGACACAACCAAATGGAATCGATATTCTTGTCGGCGGTAGACATGTACGGTCACGACTTCCATCCAGAAAATCTACAGAGACTGATTCTCTCTGAAACTTCTATTTTCGATATACTACACGACTTCTTTTATCATTCTAATCGTGCAGTTTGCAACGCCGCCTTAGAAGTTTACGTTCGCAGAGCATACATCAGTTACGAATTAACCTGTTTACAACATATAGAACTATCAGGCGAAGTGCCACTCGTACACTTCCAATTTTTGTTACCCAACAATCATCCCAATCGTCAGAATCAGTCTCTAGTTAATCACAGAATCGGTGCTATGGCAGCTTTTCAAGACATGGAACAATTTGTCCGGTATTCGGACGAAGTACTTGACCTCATGGAAGATCTGTCTTCGCCAATTACAATTTCTACCAAGGTTTTGGATGCAGTGGATGCAGCGGGAAGCGAATCAAGGCACAGTACATCTATAAACGTGTCGCTGAGTACTGCAGAAACTACTGGTCCGATCGTAGAAATTGGCGAGAGACCTGCAGAACCAGTACACATTTTAAGCATTGCTGTCCAAGAAATGGATAATTACGACGATGCTATTATGGCAAGTTTATTTGGTGAATGGTGCGCCACAAATAAGGAGGAATTGATATCACGGGGTATCAAAAGGATCACGTTCGCTGCTCTAAAGAAAAAACAATTCCCAAAATTCTTTACGTTCCGTCAAAGGGACGGTTTTATGGAAGATAAGATTTATCGACATTTGGAACCTGGTTGTGCCTTCCAATTAGAATTGAACAGAATGAGAACCTACGATCTCGAAGCTTTACCTACCTCAAACCAAAAGATGCATCTCTATCTTGGTCATGCAAAGGTTGCCAAAGGCCAACAAGTCACTGACTATCGTTTCTTCATTCGTTCGATCATACGACACTCCGATCTGATCACGAAAGAGGCTAGTTTTGATTATCTTCACAACGAAGGTGAACGGGTTTTGTTAGAGGCCATGGACGAATTAGAAGTTGCATTCTCTCATCCATTTGCGAAACGTACAGAGTGCAATCATATTTTCCTGAACTTTGTACCCACGGTTATTATGGATCCTGCGAGGATAGAGGAAAGTGTGACCAGTATGGTACTCAGATACGGCCCAAGATTATGGAAATTACGAGTACGTCAGGCTGAAATCAAAATGACAATTCGTCCATCCCCGGGAAAACCAATATCTACTATACGCTTGTGCATCGCCAATGATAGTGGTTATAGTATAGATTTACATCTTTATACAGAGGCAACCGACCAAAAGACTGGTATTATTCGATTCGAGTCCTGTCCTTCGGCGATGGCAAACAATACCTGGAGACCAGGACCTATGCACGGTCTACCGATCTCCACGCCATATTTAACCAAAGATTACCTTCAAGCGAAACGGTTTCAGGCTCAGAGTGCTGGTACAACTTATGTATATGATCTGCCAGATATGTTTAGACAACAAACAGAAAAGTTCTGGCTCAAATATATAGAGGAACGACCAAATTGCAACATAAGTATTCCAAATCCCATTATGGACTGCGTGGAATTAGTGTTGGAGGGTGATAATCTAGTGGAACAAAAACGTCTTCCCGGCGAGAATAACGTAGGCATGGTAGCTTGGAGGTTCAGACTTTACACGCCAGAATATCCGGATACTGGTCGAGATGTTATATTAATCGCAAATGATTTGACGCATTTAATTGGTTCTTTCGGCCCGAAAGAAGATTTACTATTCTGCAGAGCGTCCGAAAGAGCCAGACAGCTTAGAATTCCCCGAATTTACTTCTCCGCGAATTCTGGAGCACGTATTGGTCTGGCGGAAGAAGTGAAAGCGTTGTTTAAAATCGCTTGGGACGACGAGAAAGAACCAGAGAAAGGCTTTAAATATATTTATCTTACACCGGATGATTACGCGCGTTTAGCACCACTTAATTCCGTGAAGGCTTCATTGATCGAGGATCACGGTGAATCCCGTTACAGAATTACAGATATCATCGGTAAAGATGATGGTCTTGGTGTAGAGAATTTGAAGTATGCTGGTATGATCGCTGGAGAAACATCCAGAGCTTACGAGGAAATAGTCACGATTTCCATTGTATCCTGTCGAGCTATTGGTATTGGAGCTTATTTATTGCGTCTTGGACAGAGGGTCATTCAAATAGAGAATTCGCACATTATCCTAACTGGTTATAAAGCATTAAACGCGGTATTAGGTCGTGAAGTATACGCAAGTAACAATCAATTGGGTGGTATACAGATTATGCATTACAATGGTGTTTCGCATACGACCGACGAAAGAGATTTAGATGGTGTTGAAACTGCTCTAAGATGGTTAAGCTTCTGTCCTAAACATAAGGGTGCGCCTCTTCCTATTTTACCATCGCCGTGCCCCGATCCAATCGATAGAGAAACTACTTACGTTCCCACGAAAGCAGCCTACGATCCAAGATGGATGCTCGACGGCAGATATTTGCAAAATGAAACAAACACTTGGGAAAGTGGATTCTTTGATCGTGGCTCTTGGCAGGTACATTAGCATCATTATTACTTGTATTACAGACTATTTTAATTTCAATGAATAAATGCAGGTATTATTTTATTCTATAAATGTGATCTTCAGCATCCAGCATTTTCTACTCAAACTGAGACGACTCGAACATTCTAAGACTTTCAATAATATTTATAGGAAATAATGAGACCATGGGCTCAAACTGTGGTAACGGGACGAGCCAGATTGGGTGGAATACCATGCGGCGTTATCGCGGTAGAAACAAGGACTGTCGAGTTGCATTTACCTGCTGACCCTGCTAATTTGGATTCAGAAGCTAAAACCATATCTCAAGCTGGACAAGTGTGGTTCCCTGATAGCGCGTATAAAACCGCACAAGCTATCAAAGATTTCGGAAAAGAAGAACTACCACTTTTCATATTCGCCAATTGGAGAGGATTCTCTGGTGGAATGAAAGGTATTTATTATTTTATATTTACAAAGAGTATCGTTTTGATGTTTTCTCTATTAATTGATAATCACGCATCATTGTTTTACAGACATGTACGAGCAAATCATAAAATTTGGCGCCTACATCGTAGATGGATTAAGAGAGTATACCAAACCAATATTTATATATATTCCACCGAATGGAGAATTGAGAGGTGGTTCGTGGGCAGTAGTTGACCCAACTATAAATCCCAGATACATGGAAATGTTTGCTGACAATACAAGCAGAGCTGGAGTTCTAGAAGCTGAGGCAATAGTTGAAATAAAGTTTAGAGCTAAAGATATACTTAAAACTATGTACAGGGTGGATCCAATAATTAAAAAATTGAAAGTAAGTGAAACTGTTCTCGTGTGAAATATTTTAACTAACATTTCTAAATGTTAAATGATAACACTATGTATAGTATACGTACCTGTTTTAAATAGAAAAATGCAAATGTTTTGTAAACAATAGACAAATGCAAAAAAGTTGTTTAATTCGGTAAAAGTTGTTTAAATGGAAGTAATACACAGACTGAAATTTTATAAAGCACGGTTATTTTAGGAAAAATTGTCTGGAGCCAATTCACAAGAGGAGCGAACAGAAATCGAAGCTGAAATACATAAGAGAGAACAACAATTGGATCCTATATATCACCAGGTTGCAGTACATTTTGCAGATCTCCATGATACACCAGAGAGAATGTTCGAGAAAAACGCGATTCATGAAATTATTCCGTGGCGAAAGGCGCGAAAATTACTTTACTGGCGATTGAAAAGGAGACTTTTGGAAGATCAATTAATGGAGAAGATTCTCGCGATTCAACCCCGTCTCGACGTCAGACAAGTCGGTGCGATGTTGCGTAGATGGTTCATAGAGGACAAGGGACCTACAGAATCTTATTTGTGGGATAAAGATGAAACGGTAGCAAATTGGTTGGAGAGTCAACGTGAAAACGAAAACAGTGTCGTTTCGCGTAACATTACTTGTGTAACACAAGATGCGATCGTCTCTCAAGTTAAGGAAGCTCTCGAAGCCTGTCCAGAAGTAAGGTTAACTGCAATTCTAGAAATCGCTCACAGACTACAGCCAGCGGAACGTGCAGAACTACACAGAACTTTATCGCAGTTAGAAACGACCACTCAGGAACACCACAATGACTCCAGCGCTTCATCCTAATATTTTTTAAATATCACAGAATTTTCTGTCTATCCACGTACCTGGTGTATGTAACTCCGTTAGAATTAATTGTACAGACACTCGTTTCTCATCTTGTCAATAGTAAATTCTACGGGAATAGTATAATTTCGCAAAGTTAATAATTGCTTCTATCGATAGAGTTACTTGAAGGTAGGGAGCAAAATGAACTTGTGCTTAGTAAGGTTCAACGGTGATGCTATCGAGTGTCAGACAGTATCACTGCCGATTCCTAAACCGTGGCAAAGTATGCCCATTGTTTATAATAAGTGTATTCATGAATATAGAAATGATGTATAATATTATATATATATTATATAATATATAATATTATATATATACATATATATATATACACACACCATATATATATACATATATATATATATATTTATTTTTAGAAAAGTCTGTTCGTTGCGTTTGATTTTACCGAACGACTACTAATAGGCATGTATATCTCTCCATTTTGTTGAGAGAAGAATCAATGGGTAAGTTTAAAGTATTAAATGCTGTTTTTCGATCGTAATACAAAATATCAAAATTTATCTACTCTTTAGAAACAAATTTATTAAGAACAGGTTAATTGGAAGGAACAGATAATACAAAATTTTATGAATCTGAATATTTAACAAAATTAAGGTGTTTAATACAAAATAGTTGCTATATGATCTTTATATATACATATATATTTTATACTATTTTTAATTCATTAATATCAAGGTAAAATGTATATTATACACAATCATATCCTCATAAAGAGATGACAAAAATTAGGAGTAACATCTGTTCGTATCATTACCCTTAAAAGACTAGTATTTGACTTCGATGTACATCGACTAGATCGTCATCTAGGGTAAGCAAAACCATAAAGGAGAAAAATATTGCTATGCCAGATAAAAAATGCCAAATGTCATGGTTGTCAAAAAACCTTAGGAACTTATAACAGGGTTTGTTATAAAGGCGAGATTTGGCTGGTGTAACCGCCCACGAAATAGTTTTGTTTATAAAAAAATACATAGCTGCAATCCAGAACGCAACTGCCAAAATAATATAAATTAATGGTTGAGGAAGTATCTTCTCTTTTTGTAACATCTGAAATATTACACAATTCATTAGTTCGTAGTACACTAAATTTTGATTATGCATCTATACATACCTTCATTCCAATATAAAAAATAGTATACAACATTAAATTGAACATTAATATAATTAATAGAAATGTTGCAAAGTTTTTTTCATGACTTAAATTTCCGAATACTGCAAGACCAACGTTACATAAATTTGCTATGGCAAGCAGTGTAAATCGTCCTGGGTACAAAGGTTTAAATAAATTTTTAACTCCAGAGTGAACATCATATTTACAAGACTGTAAAAATATGAATTCGGTGGTCAATAATGAACATAAATTATTAAAAAAAGTAACTCGATCGATACAAAACTAAAAAAATAATACTGAAACTTATGTATTAAGTGCGTAATATTACCTCTACGATTCTTTTGGAGATACCTTTAAGTCTGCATCGTCCCATATAGTAAAATTGAATAGTCACAAACAAGCAAATTAGCAAATACATAATCGTAAATATAATCCAGAAAGTAGTGGAACCATCCAAAACGCCGATTAATCCTGTTAGAATGATTAAAGCTAAGACTCCAAATGTAATCGGTGCTCGAGCGTTTATATCGGGATGCCGCGTTTGATAAATTTTGATCATACAAAGTATTGCTATGATGTACATATAACTTGTGTCTGAAAGAATGACAACGAATTCTATTAACATCTTATTAAAAAAAAAAAAAAAAAATACAGGGATGCCTTGAAAATTAACCAGGATTTTCCTTTAGAAATTGTCCCCCGCTTGTCCTGGTGGCTAAGTATATTTATATTTTTAAATCTACTATGAAATTTCGATATCCCATGTTTATGCATCTCTATCTTACTCGCACTCTCTGAAAAAAAAATCACTCGATTTCCTAGATTTACCTCTCTTCAATTTTGACCAGTTTCAATCCTGCGTTACAGTTTAGAGTTCCTCGGTTTCCCCCCACTTCTCACGCCTGACAATCTACATTTGTCCTACCCTCTCACCAGCATTGTTCAATTACGCTTGTTAGTCTCAGACAGTTGGGAGGAAAAGCGGGGTAAGCAAAGAACTCTGAGGTTAAAGTAAGAGAAATGGTAACACCATTTCTCGACCTGGCAACCCCCTCATTCTAAATGTCGGCCAATATCCAAGGCATTACTGTACATAATATATATAATCTTACCGAATTGAAAATTACTTCGATTCGGACATACATGATAACTTCCTGAAAGTATTCCTTCCATGATAAGAGCAAATCCAAGTGCATAAAATAATCCATAATGTTGCGGTATACCGTAAGACTGGTTTTTTACCATATTTGCATGCTTTTCTCGAGTATATGTTACCAATATAAACAGAAGACCTAATATGATGTATCCAAAATTCGAAAACACGTGATTGAAATCCGACAGCAATCCAAGTGGATGGGCGCATAAAAAATTATAGTAACATATATCTTGATTTCCAGTAATGTGAAGTATGTTCTGGTAAGTTACTACTAATTGCAAAACGGGTAAAGTATAGAAGATGGTAATCGTTATTAAATAATAAAGATATAATCGGGACTTATGCCGTAAAATTTTTGGATGTTTGCGAGCCAAATCGCTAACTGAAAGTACAAGTTTCGTTCGTATTACTGCTTTATCAGAATGAACATCTTGCAAGATATCAATATCATCTTCATCTAGCGACGAATCTTCTTCTGAAGATATTGACACCCGAGGCTGTATCTAAAATGTAAATAATTCATATAATTAATTATAATAATTAACTGTGATTAGGAATATTTCTGTAGTACATGAATCAATTTTTTATTAGATGTAAAGCATTTTAGACATAATATTTATCTTACCTCTTCTATTGTAAAAGGAGTCTGCATAGGATCATTGTTCTCACATATTTGATTATCCAATAATTCCTGGTGAATTTTTTTACCTTCTTTAATTACAGAGAATGTTATGCCCATAACATACACTATGCAGAAACCAAAAATAAGAGATATCACTACACTTGATGCGATCACGTAATCGCGTTTGGTAACACCAGGATTTACTGTTATTGACACATTTTTATTCCGTACAGAGACTGTATTAGGTGATCCATAACAGTCAGTATCATCACCCTTTACTACAAGTACAACAAAAAATCCCATTGGATATGCTTCTCTCTAGAAGATTATAATTAGACTTCAATATTACTTCTAATCAAATTCTACTAAAAAAATATTTTACTCTTTTATGTATTCCATATTTTGGAAAATACATAATAGAATTACCCATTAACAACTGAGGCAAATACATACAGGCACAGTAATACCACCCTGGCGACTAACAGTTTGCCAGTAACCAGCAAATTGAATATTCCTTTCTAAATCAAATACAGGACACTAAGCAAGAAAATATTTTAGAATCCTACAATATTATAAATATATTATTATAGAGATATGTTAAAACCCTCTTACCGATATATTTTGTATCGAGACTGTCATACAAATATCACTCTCAGATTCAACATGGACAATAACGACAGGACTTTCCATTTGCTCTTGGAAGATGTAACCATAATAAATAGGTTCAGATGGAGAAATTTCTGTTGAACGTTTCTCTCCTGTTCTATATAGAAAACAACAAAATAATTGTTATTCTTTCTTGTTTTTTTTGTTTAATGACATAATAAACTTATTAACATACTCCTGATTCAATACCAACATTTAATACTCTATAATACCTCAAGTAAAATTCTGTATAATGCGTTACATTCAGCTTGAACAAAACATTTCTGTCATCAGCAGTGGATAAAGTGATAGTAACAAATTCTCCTCTAATATTCTTCCATTCACTGTTATAATTTTCTGTCGAACACAAAGTCCGACTAGTTTTATTATAAATTGAATCATTGAAATATAAACTATCTACAACTAGAGGAATTTGCCATGATAAAATTCCTTTCTTGTGACGTGCTACTATAATAAGAGGTAAATCATGAGTGGCATTGCTTTCAACTTTTATTCTAGCAGTTTCCATCCATATTTCCTAAATATGTAAAAATAAATAATATAAATAATATAATTAATTTTTATAATAATAAAAATAATTATGTAAATTAATTAATACTTGCACTGTTAGTTGGGTATAAAAATTCATATTCAACAGTAGTGTTTATGAGGAGTTCATATTCTTTTTCGTACTCCGCCTCATAAACAATGGGTAAGAATGTTAAATTTCGGTAAGCAATAATTCCATGGAGGTTAAATAATAATAATACAGTAGTAACTATAAAAATTCTCTCCATATTTAACATTTTAAAATTTAATCTAAACATAAAACTTTGACTTTGACTTCAAATTCATTTACACAATTCACTTACACAAAACATCACATATGAGATAACAAAAGTATTGAATTAAATTTTTTTCTTTATGTTATTTTGTCAACGATGCTAGAACACGATCTGAGAAAAAGTTACTAGCAGTTTCAGTAACTCCAGATTGAAGTTCAACAGTTGGACTGAATATTACTGGTTCAGCTTTGGTCATTGTTATTAAAAATGGCGACAGCCGTGGCACCGAAGGATGTTAACACATATTTAAATCAAAATCAAAATGTTGCAGACAAAGAATTGGCTGCTGAATGGGCGCAACTTGAAAAACTATATAATAAAAAGTATTGTGTATCACATATATTAAATTACATTTATATTACAATAGAATAATCTGATCTTTTTTCGTACGGTGACTTGCAGGCTTTGGCATCAGCTGACACTTAAATTAGAAACATTTGTAAAAAATCCAGCACTTCTGAAAGGAGATAATTTGGTACAATTATATGTTAACTTTTTATCTACCTTTGAAAACAAGTAAGAATAATACATATGTTTTTTTAAAATATTATATCATAACCTCACTCTTTTATATGAATAGAAAATAATATTTTTCGATAAATATGATAAAAAAGGAACTTATAAAACAATACTATTGCCAGGTTTAATTATTTATGTTTTATGTTTAGGATAAACCCTTTGTCGTTGGTAGAAATATTAGCATATGTAATACAACAGTTTCAAGATAAGCAGGAAGCAATTAAATTCTTGGAAAAAACTGAAGCCAAAGTTAAAAGCAGTAATGAAGCCGTGGCTCTCTGTAAGGTCCTTACAGGGCAAATTTTGTTGGATAAGTTAAATAATCAAGAACAAACAAAAAAGATAATAGAAGATGTAGAAGCGATGTTGGATAATGCTGATGGTATTACCACAGTTCATGGTAGATTTTATTTGTTAGCCAGCCGTCTTTACCGTTTACAAGGGAAACATGCAGAATATTATCGCACTGCTCTGAGGTATTATTACATCTAAGATTTTTAAGTTCTAAATTAATCTCTTAACATAATCTTATAACAAATATTCTTTACACTTGATTCTTTAGATATTTGGGTTGTATTGATTTAAACAGCTTAAGTAAACAAGAACAAGAACAACATGCATTTTTCCTTGGTCTGGCTGCACTTTTAGGTGAGGGTGTTTATAATCTTGGAGAACTATTAGCTCATCCAGTTTTACAGTCTTTAAAAGGTACACCAAATTCTTGGTTGATTGACTTATTACAAGCTTTCAATGCCGGCGATATTGCGGCGTTAGAGAAATTAAAACCACAGTGGAGCAAAGTTGCTGATTTAGCTGCACAGGAATTAAAATTAAGACAAAAAATCTCTCTTCTGTGCCTTATGGAAATGACTTTCAAACGGCAAGGTAATAACAGGTTTGTATTTTCTTTGTTATAATACTAAATTAATACTAAAATTATAAAATAACTATGCCAAATAATTTATGTTAATTAAGTGATAATATTAAATATTTTTTATTACAGACAATTGACATTCACAGAAATCTCTCAAGAAACTCGTTTACCTCTCGGTGAAGTAGAATTACTAGTAATGAAGGCTTTAGCTCAAGGTTTGGTTCGTGGCGCCATTGATCAAGTAGCAGGAACAGTAAACATGACATGGGTACAACCTCGCGTATTGGATCGTAGTCAAATAGCTGGGATGGTTCAAAGACTTGATGGATGGTGTAAAGATGTCAGCTCAATGGAACGTTTATTGGAATCTCGAGCCTCCGAAATTCTAACTCTTTAATATTAGGTTTGATACTCTTTCATCGATTCATTTATAAGTTGTACTTCTGTATTTCTAATAATTCATTGGCTTACCATTATTTTAAAATGTCCACAAATAATAAACCAATTGTGATAAGTCAATAAATTAATATAGAAGAAAATATAAACTCCACTTTTTTAAACACAAAATTATAATACAATTACAGGTGAATGTAAAAAGGGATGCAGATTTGTTTTGAACTTAATATTCTAAAGTAAACAATTGCATAAAATTTCTATCATACATAGAGTAATCATTTCAATTTCTTTGTGTTCACAAACTTTGTACTATGATTAAAATAATAATAATGTACATTAACATTTATCGCGTTTTTTATTTAAGAATGCATTTCTACAGGGTGTTGAGCTACCTATAGTCATCTTTTGAGGGGATGATTAATGATAGCCGAACACCCTGTATTTAAGATATGAAGAATTTTGATTATATGCATATGCTATTATTTGGATATCTGTATATCCCATAATAGAATCATGGTTTTCATGATGTATAAATACAGTAGTATCCGGTTTAGCGTCTGTTGGCCACACTTGTTAGTATCGTCCTTCCACGAGAAGAAGGCACACAATGCAGTGTGGCCAAATTTGGCATAATTGAGTGCATCGACGTCGTCATTAGTAACGACGAACTTCCTTAGCGTTTAACGGAGTGGTGGAGAAAGCAGACATATCTTACCGCACGAGCCACATGTTACGCCCGGTCAACACTTCATGCAACTTCAGAAAATTGATAAAGAACGTGAACAGAAGCCTTTCCTTCTTGCTCTTGAACAGCTGAAGTCCGTCTTCGTGTCAATGGCATACAATTTCGAATCTCGACTGCTCAGGCATTTTTACGTTTTGAGCTATTATAGGCACATACGTATAAGCAAAGTCCATAATGAATGAAAAATTTTCACGTAAATACACGTTTTAAGACCCTCTGATCATGTTTGAAATAAAACAATACTATGGAAATAAATCGTTTGAATATAGTTTATCAAGTAAGATTTATTTTCTAATTGTTCTATTATTTCAAATAATAATTCTTTAATTTTATAACAAAGAATGTTTATTTAATATTTAATTCAATTTGTATTTGTATATTTTTTGCCTATATAGGCAAATATACCATGTTCGGTTTTATTACATAAGTTGTTCCGTAACAGAGATGTTCAGTTTAGGTGTTATTCCCAAAGATGAGATTTTCTTCGTCTTCAAAGAAACCCGGGTTGACCGCTGTTCGTGAAACATCTTCTTGGCCATCTTCGATCTTGATTGAATGTAAATCTTTAATTAAATTCTTCATTTCGCTTCACGATCCGTCTTGCTTGGGGGTGAGGGATGACTCCTGCGAGCGCCCCAGGGGGCTCTCGTAACCGCCAGAGGCTCTGGCTGTGCCTTCTCGTGGAAGAATGGTAAGTAGGTTTGGGTTATTGTGTTTTACATGTTAGGTTAAATAGCCGAGGAAGAAATGTTTTATTACCAACGTACATCGAGTTATAATTTTTATATAAAAATCAACATAAAATATACTTAAAAGTGTAACATCAGCGAAATCCATGTTTAACAATAAATAATAATATATGTTGTAAATAATAAACGCATCGATGGTATTCATAACCTAAAAGTGTTTAATGTCAAAAAACTAAGGTAATATCCATAGACAGAGATTATAATTTTTCAGACACTGAATTATTAAATGTGTTCATAAAATATTTAAAAACTATGGATGGTGGTCCGACTTTAAAGCGGCCTAAGCCAACCGATGGTGAAGAAGAATTATTTCGTATGCAAGACGAATTTTTGATGAATAAACAACAACCATCTGCAAAAGTAATTAATTTACGAGGTTCGAAGGCACCTTTTGATATTACTGCTTCTGATGAAATGCCTAAAAGTCAGCCAAGTAGTGGGAAAATAAGGTCAAAATTTTCTGAATTGAAAAAACATAAAATACACAATAGGGTGTATACTCATCAAAGTGGTGGCAATGTTTTAAATCCTGCGATCAAGGAAAATGTTCAGGAAAATTTAAAACCTAAATTACAGGATTCTGTTCAAAATATAGAAATTGCACCATCTAATATAATATTAGGAAATATTATTGAAAAGAAATATGGCCTAAACAACTTTAAATTGAATGAGAAGTCTTTTTCCGCTTTGGACAAAGGTTTCCCTGACGTTTTTGTTTCTGATTATATGGTACTTATATAATTTCATATCCCTATTTAATTCAAATTATACAAATAGTTGATCAAACAAATATTTAAGTACTAGTAAAATATTGGTAACTATGCTGCGTAATTGAAATAAATATACAGTGTTCCCAAGTTAAGTGGCTACATTTGACGTATGCACTTTTGACACAACATACTTTTTTTACAAACTAAAGTTTTTGCTTATTTGTTAATGCATTAATATACGATTTTCTTCATGTTATTTATAAATATTTAAACAGTTTCAAGAACAAATTAGCACTACTACAGTGCTACTGCAAACATGTGAATTGGAGGAAGATTTTAATTTTAGTAAGATAACAATCTAAAGCTTAAGGCATGAATTGTGTTAACATATTTACTTACATCCTTGTAAAAATGTTTTATAACTATTTTTAAGATTCTTTGACCTGAATCCTATTAAAAACTGGTAAGATAAGTATGCCAAAATATTTAAAAAACTATAGTAAATTTATAAAAAAAGTTAAAAATGTTTTACAGAAGAATGACAGAATAATATACTGACACACTTATAATATGTACAGCAAAATATTAATATTTAATTCAAAATTATTATTTTAATTTTATAAATTTCATTTATATGATGTCCAAATATTTTTATAACATTATTGAATAGTTTCCAGTTTCTCTTATATTATTTAAAAAACTGTATTAATAACTGTATAAATTTTTATGCTTCATTGTATATTTACTTTAACTACAAAGCATAAATAGCAAAACTATACTGCTGTCCAAATATTTTTGTGACCAACCGTGTACTATTGTTATAGAAACAGTTGTGTAGGTGTTTAAGTGTTAATCTTTTGTAGAAAAATGATGGTAATCAAAGCTTATTTTGGCAACAAGTTTCCCCAGAAGAAAATGCGACACACAAATCAGAGGATCCTCAGAAGTATGAACCTTCATTTAATAATGATAATACTATTATAGAGAAATCATGGGCAACTGAGATACACAAAGAAAATTTAGAACGATTAAATAGAATGAGTCAAGAAGATATATTAAGAGAGAAAAGTAAGCTTGAGATGATGCTTAAACCAGAATTAATCCAGTTTTTAAAAGATAGACGAAATAAAAAACAAAAAGCAGAAGGGGATCAAGATGAAATTGAAAAATCTAATATTTTGAATAAAGATGAAAATGTGACATATATGGATGAAGAGAAATTGTGTACAAAAAAAATTTCTAACAGGCACGATAAAGAATTATCAAACAATAATGATGTTACATTAATGCAAATTGTTAAACTTGAAAAAGTCGTTGATAAATACAATAAAGATATGTCCAAGAATATTGATGATACACAGATGCAAATAGACGAATCTGAGGAAACTGTAACAGAGCCTCCTATAGAGTTAATGAAACTGGCTAAAGAAAAAGGTTGGGTACATATGGATGCTCTTGAACGTGAAAAGTTAAAGTGGATGGAAGATATACCAATACAGAAACAAGATGAACCTTCTCCAGATGAACCATACAATGCTCGTTTTGATTTCAATGGTAAATTTTTTTATGCTGTTCTTTAACACTCTGGCGGCAGGACTCCGACCTGTGTACTCACGCTTTTTCCTTTTTATTATCACAATTTATGATATAAATAATAGCAATCATTAATAGGGATCAAAAATAAAATAAATAAATGCAGATAATATTTATTTCGATTTGGTACAACGATATAAGATTTTACCCTATATTTATTATTAAAACTGTTTCCTTTCTTGGTTTGTTATGGCTACTTGTTTTATTATTTTTCGCGACTAGAGTAGGTTCAAACGGTCTTAGGCTTTGCCGTCCGAGTATTGATCATAATAACTTATTTAAAAGTATACAGGGTGTTACTCTACCTATAGTCAATATTTTGGGGGGTGATTCTACAGGCGAATATAAGTCGAAAATCAAGAGTGATGAAATTGCGGTAAATGCTTTGTTTATTAATTATCGATGGTTAAAGATTGGCGTCTGGAGCGCCTGAATGACGGCAACTTAAAATAGGGCCGGTCAGTATACCAATATCGATCGGCGGCAACGTCGAAGACACCAACGAAAATCAGCTGATGGAACAGCCCGGCCGCCGATCGATATTGGTGTACTGACCGGCCCTATTGTCACCGCAGTTCGAATTTTAATTATTTCTCTATTAACCCTTTGCATTCGAGGAATGTTTCGGTACGCACAAATCCAGTCTGCTTTTCCTGTACAGTTTTTAATACCAAACGGTTACAAATGGTTCTTACCGTATTTACCGCTGTCCGTCAAGTTGCCGTCATTCAGGCGCTCCAGACGCCAATCTTTAACCATCGATAATTAATAAACAAAGCATTTACCGCAATTTCATCACTCTTGATTTTCGACTTATATTCGCCTGTAGAATCACCCCCCAAAATATTGACTATAGGTAGAGTAACACCCTGTATACTGGAAACATGAAAAGTGTATTAAAATTTTAATACCTTTTGCTAGGTTTATTATTACCATATGAAGACGAAAGTGTACCAGTCGAGAAAGGTCTTCATCATCATGGAGAAGAACCTGAACGACCTGGATATTCCTTGCAAGAACTATTACAATTAAGCCGATCAGCTGCACAGCAGCAACGTTGCATGGCTCTTACAACGCTGGCAAATATTATAGATAAAAGTCGTAAGGGCTGGTATGATAAAGCATTACATCCAGCACCTTTGCCTGTGCTAAGTCAACGAAATCTCCTATTATTATTGAGGTTTTCTTTAGATGATACATCAGTAGCTATAGTAACAGCAACTTTACAAGCACTTAGAGCTTTTTTATATAGCGAAGAAGATGAAATTTGTTTGGATAGATTGTATGGTTTCCAAAATTACGAAGAACCTAATATAACGCCACCAAAAACTGATATTACTAATACAAGTAATTTGAAAGATCATGAATTGGTGCAATTAGACGCAATAGCTGCGTTATTAAGAACTGATATATTCATAAGGATTAGGTATTTTTAATAATTTTATTTTTGTAACTAAAACAAAATGTATGTGTCTGTAGAAATTTAGTTATAAAGTGAATTAAAATTATTTGCAGGTATATTTTGCGTGAAATGCGACCACCGCCTGTTGGTGTAACATGTGCATTAGAAATATTAATCAGACTCGCAAGATATTCAAATATAACAGCATTAAACATTATGAGCATCCCGAATTTATTAGAAGCAATCGCTGAATACTTTATGCCATTATCTACTGATCGTTTAGGTTTATAAATTTGAAATATTAATCACTTCCCGTACTTCAACGAGACTCGTGATGAAGATTTTGGCTCAAACATGAATATCACGAGCCAGATTCGCGAACAGCAAATCACGATCGTGATTGAGTTTTAGTTCCTATCAGTACGCCACAATAGATGGTCACGATTCTTATAATCTCTGTTACAAAGCAGTTTAGCATCAATCTGGTCTGCTTACCGCGCATTGACGCCTACCGTTTGGGCCTGGATTTCGACGAGCTAAATGGCACGGGAAGGGGTTAAAATATTTCATATACAAACACATACAATAAATTAATAATAATTTATATTTTTATTCGTAGCAATGCAGAAAACTATAAATAATGTTTATGGAGTTCCTGTAATTCCTGCTGTTAGGTTTTGTCGTATTTTACTTTATTATGGAGGAAAACCAGTTGCCCAAAAGTTGAACAACCTTAACATTAAACAACGCATTATTTCGTATATCTGTTGCGATGCAGGGTAATTTTTACATATATTTTACATTTAATTTTTATTTGTAACAGACGTCGTTGCATATATAAAGAATAATTAATTTCTTTTTAAGAAATGAAAGTATTAATCTCAGCATCGAAAGTTTACGACTATGGAAAACTTTACTACTTCACGGAGAGGCAATGGACAGTTTAAATGGCGTACAATTAATTTTATTGTCTCAGTTACAACTTCTATTAAGTAATCATGATATTCGAAATGCATCCGAATTATCTTGTGAATATGCAGCAAATTTAATTGCTGTTGCCAGTTGTTTGACATCTTTAAAAGCAAATATATCAATTTTATTGTTGAAATGGAGTACACAGTTATTATCTTTAACTAATGTTACAGTATGTTCAAATTTAATTTATTGTATGAAACATTTATGATCCAAATATTATATAAAAGTTAAATATCTACTCAACAATTTTTATTTTATAGTGGGGCAATACAAAACTTCTTGCAGAAACATTATTGGCAGTCAATGATACTTCTGTAATTCAAAAATTGATAATATCTCGATCACGAGTATTTTCTAAACTTAGGTAAGTTACGTTTGACTTATTTTTAATTTCATATTATATTAAATCTTTTTTCGTAAAAAATGCCGATGCTTATTGACTCGTTAATGTTATTAAATTTTTGTAGCTCTTCTTCAAATTTATTGAGTGGCTATAGACCAGCTATTGAACGCGATCCTCCTTCTCTACCTCATCTAGGTATATTAACAGAGGATGGACAATTACAGCCTATAGTATCTCAACAATCTTGTATACCATTTCTTGCAACCGTTTTAAAAGTATTCATTAATCATTGTTTTATACAAGAAGTTCAAGCAATTCTCAGCCTTCCACAACTTTGTAAATATTTAAAAAAATTAGAAACAACAGAATGGTGCTTAGAAAGATCATGGTACACAAGATTTGAATTATCTTTCTTGATTGCTATAGTGAAGGCAGCTTCTCTTGTTAAAGATAAACTCGACAAAAGTACAGCGCATATTATTTGGAAAATTGCAGTCAAACTCGTATCATCTTTACCTGCTGATTTTTCATCCGATGTAAAAGATATGCTTCGGATTGCATTATCAAAAGAGAAATTAAGTTTAGCAACGATAGCAAATGAATTAGAGAAATTAAACTTGAGTCCAAACGTCGAGAATATTAAATTAAATTTAAACAGTGATATGGCTGCTTTATATGAACATTATGTAGAACTGAATGGCGAATGGGATCAAGCGGCAATGCCTAAAGATTGGCTTTATCTCCCAGTAGTACACATTTATACAAAATGTAGAAACAATAGCACATGCAATGATGAAGATAAATCTACTATCTTGACTGTACTGAGTTTAGAATTACTATTACCTGATTTGGTTGAAAAGTTGTCTCAAAGTCTAAGATTCAGCAGATTAGTTCTGGTATACCTATGTGATACAGTATATTTAAATAGCGACGTATCTGCTTTACTTACTAAAGCCATTGTATCTTTATTGAAAGATAATTACGAGAAATTTAATTTTACAATAGATTTGCCAGGACTTAACTCGTTTACTGATTTATTCACGGTCATGTGCGAACATTTTTGTTCAACTTCTTATGGTGATTATGGTTTTTCGATGACTATATTGCTGCTAATTGCACAAAGGCACGATGTTCACTATAGAAAACTATTATGGTCGGAACATGCGGGTTTGTTGCGTTACATTAGATTACCTTTAGAACAATTGGTTATTCCGTTAAAAGAATATTTCTATCCACTCGAAGAAGATACATCTTTAATAGAAAGTTATATAACCGCTCTTGTTAGAGAAATTGTTAAAAAAGATTGGTGTCCCATTCCTTATGCCATTGCTGTACATCATTCTGCAATGTATTTAAAACAACCAAATAAATTAGCAGTACGAATGAGAATGAAATTAGAGAAAATACCCAATAAAGATTTAGCTGTAACGTTACTAGAATACAAAGAACCTACATTATAAGTGTAGATAATTGGTGTATTAGATTTTTAATAAGAGATTCGAAATTAATTACGATCAATTTTACGAATGTTTTCAGTATGAGCAATTTGTAATAATTTAAAATTAATAAGTTTGCATTTTGAACATAATATGTATATGATTTATATTATGTAATAGAAATTGATTTCTAATTTGTTGTATAAATTATAACCTTACACTCCTTGCAGACATGGATTCGATAGGTTTTATTTTGTAACACAAAACGAAAGAAAATTCTTGAAGAGATACATGAGTATAATTAATTCAGTTGGTCGAAGAATATACAGATATCAGTATTATTAAATAAACAATTAATTACAAGATTAAAAAATAGGAACAATTTGTGTTTACAATTACGCAAAGCATAGAGGCACTGCTTGATCAGTTTCACTGATTAACAAAGTTATCAATAAAATAGTACACAATACAGTCTAGAAAATGTAACGTTCGAAATTCTGTAGTGTGTTAATAGGTGATGTAAGTACATATACATATGTCTAATTATGCGGGTTGATTATAGGTATTTTATTTTTAATTAATCGTTAACTATATTTTCATGGTCTCTAGCTTCAGCTTACAATTAGTAACATCGATGTTCTAACTTCTATCGAAGTAAATAGGCGACAAAAGTAGTAATAAGTAGGTACACATGTTTGTCTATCTATTAACAAAACGTCCTAATTAGATGTTGCATTACACATTGATGAACATGTCAATGAACATAGCATATTTTATATTTGCATTCAAATTGACAACACGTGCATATTTTAGTTGTTAATCATAATGTTTGAAATTAAAACCAGTTTGTTTGTTATATCGTATCGCATGTACGACGTCTGTAACAACAATGTACTTACATACAATAATTTCGTAGAGTTATTGCTTTCTGAGCTTTAACAATATAACTGTTTTTATTAAAAAAAAGCAACTCCAACATTGACAAAGATATTTTTAAAACTGGCTATCAACTAGATCGTAAATAGTACATGTCAGCCATATGTATATGTACACAGTTCAATGGAATCTCGTTAAGGTAAATGTACCAATATCTAACGAGAATAACTATTGTTCCATTATCCGGTCATTAATGCAAGGATTAATTATTATTAAGCATATGCTTAAGGAAAGAGCAATGTTTTAATTAATTTATATTATTTAATCACACAGCCTCGTGAATTAAAAGTTACATCGAAGTACATACAGGGTGATCGGCCACCCCTGGGAAAAATTGTAATGGGAAATTCTGGAGGTCAAAATAAGACGAAAATCAAGAATACCAATTTCTTGATTGAGGCTTCGTTAAAAAGTTATTAACGTTTAAAGTTTAAAACACGCAGCTGTTCGCAGATTGCTGTCTCACAGGCGGAACTTTAAACGTTAATAACTTTTTAACGACGTCTCAATCAACAAATTGGCATTGTTGATTTTCGTCTTATTTTGACCTCCAGAATGTCCCATTCAAATTTTTCCCAGGTGTGGCCGAACACCCTGTATACTTTCTATTGGAAAAATAGCAAAAATACACACACAGAACAAAAGATCGGCAATGGCTATCACACGCACTTACGTGCGTATTGCTACACGATAAAGATAGTTTCAACACTTTCTTTGAGACATTTAAAAAATTGTTTGCATTATCATAGTTATTTGTATAGCGAGTTTTCTTTAATTTTTTACAATTTAATTAAAGAGGGAATACTTGCTTGTTAAAAACATAATTACTATAATAATTTTCTTAATGAGTGAATGGGATATGAAATTTTGTGCATAATTTTCAAACTTAGGAAGCACAATATTTTATTATTCAAATTGCTTTGTATATAAAAATTTAAGCGGCTATGTATCGGTACAGCAATATTCTTATTTACTCAATAAGTAACCGCCCATTCAGTTATTTTGTCAGATTCAGTTTATTCAGGTGTGAAAACATGAATTCTTATATTTTTCTCAGTAAAGATTGAAGATAAATATAGAAATTATAAGCAATTATTGTTTACATATTTCATTAAATTATATGCATGTAAATACTTAGTTCTATTGATTTTATGTCATAGTAATGATTTGACTAACAATAACCTATTTGGACCTGTCATTACTCAAGTTGTGACAAGTTGTATGTAAATAATACGTCAAACTAAAAATTTACTTGCTTACATACAGAACAGTTTTTTAAATATTTATATATGTTTTGTCAACCTTTTAAACATTTTTTTAGATAATAGGAAAGAAGGTGGGAATATATGTAGATAGACCGGGGTCTTAATATGTGGTATTTTTTATCTATAGTAAGTGCTGGGATATGTCAGTAACTAAGAAAAACACATCGATTAATATCCTCTTACGCTAGTAGGTAGCACTAATAGGATTAATATATTTCGTGCATCTAATGAGTGGAAGTGTTGTTTTTCGTTCGTTGGAAAAGTTTTTAATGTAAGTTTTATTTGTTTGTTTTCCTTACACTATTTGAAAAATGTAAAATGTTTATTTGAAATACAATTAATCATGCGATTAAGCTTAAAAATGCTCTACTTAATTGTATGAGATATCTTTCATGTGCCAAAATATTTAAGTTAACTATAAAAGGCAGGAGGTGGCAATATGGACCACGATGTATACATCTTACGATTTATTTTGTTTCATGAAATCTTATTTTTTTCTTGTTTTAACTTTGGATTCAATGTATGACGTGTCGAGAATGGGCACACATTTTATGCAGCGAATGTGAAAACAACGTTTTTGTTTATGACTATTATGACTATTTACTACAAGTTTTTTATCTTTCTCGACCCGATCTACAATATGTATTATCGCTCAAATTTCAAAGATCGTGTTTTTGACAAACTTTTGTAAAAATGTTGTGTCTTTAAAATAATTGAATTTTTAGATTAAATAATTATTGATTCATTATCTTAGATCAATTATTATTTCTGCCTTTAACTAATGTACCTTTTACGTATTTTCTTTGAAGCAAAGAAAGTGGTCCATATTCCTACTTCCCCTAATTTTATATTCTCAAAATCTTTGATGTTCTTTTTTTATTAAAATTTTTCAATATATTTTTCATACATAGCAATAATTCTGTTACTGTTGCAATTAGTTTCAACTTTTCAACGAAAACAGAACATCGAAATTTGGATATTGGGACGGTCGCTTTTCGTTGGCCATATATTAGCACAGACGAGGTATACTAGTAGACCTTACACTCAATGTATTTTTTTGGCCCATTTTTCTGGGGTCTCGAGACTCTATTACCATTTTCGTGTCACTTGCAGAGTTACCAACAGGTTTAGAAATGAACACAAGGGGATGTGAATCAGAAAATTAAATTATTATTATTATTTTTTAACGGAATGAAAGCTGTACGGTTCAGAAATGAGCAACGATCGATTAATTTCATTGGTGTCGTGAAGACGCCTTAGGATTTAGGAAACAGTACTTCTATGATACATTTATTTTCTCATACAAATTATGATAAATACTAAATTAGTATTATCACAGACGAGGTATACGAGTAGACCTTTCACCTAATGTATTTTTTCGGCCCGCTTCTCTGGGGTCCCGGGACCCCATTACCATTTTCGTGTCACTCGCAACGTTACCGACAGATTTAGAAATTAATACAAGAGGAAGTGAGATAGAAAATTAAATTACAGAAATTTTATTATTTTTTAACGGAATTAAAGCTGTACGGTCCAGAATTGAGCATCAATCGATTAATTTCATTGGAGTAACCAATCGATTAAGATTATTAAAATACGTAAGGATGTACCTCATTGACAACTACAGTGAAAATCCTTATTTATTTAAAAAATAACACATAAGGTGACCGGCCTATTCGTATACCTCGTGTGTATTTCGCATAGCATCAAAAGAAAAACGGTAGCTTGGAATGTTTATGGTATTTCTTTTACAATCGCGATTCCTACCTGGGGTAACCTCGACGAGAATTTTTTTTCTCGAAAATGCGTAGGATTTGAAGGAGACGTGTATTACCAAAAATGATTCTAATTGACCCCCGCAATCGAAAATAATTTTTCCAGAACGATTAATATTTTTTTAATATTTTTAAAACGTTTCATTTGACCGACAAGAGAATTGTTCTCGCATGTTTCGAGATTAAACCCCTCGATGCTTGAATACTTTTCAAATTTACGATCCAAAATACACAACTTCTCTTCGTGTGCATTAATATGTATTTTGTTGGGCGTTGCAACATATCGTTTTGCGATTTTAGTGACGCATGTACAATTTACTGATAAGAAATGAAAGATGGAAACTTATACAAAAGAAAGTATCGTATAAAGGACAGAAGATCGAAGAAATGAATACGTGATGTATGACCTTGGTTCTCGACAAAAATTCAAAGAAACTTTCAGTCTCCTCAAATTTGTCCATATTTTCATACCTATTGTTTGCAATAATTATTAATTAACATCTGGCAATAGTTAAAATAATGCTCGATAGCGTGGGTTGTATAAATAATTATTTTTAATACCATTTTGCGAAGAATATTCATTTTTCAGTCAAAGGCACGGTTAACTGTTAATTGATTGGTGAACACGCCAAGGACGGTCTTCCCCACCCCTTTAACTCTTTTACTTGAGGATAGTTGCCGGTGACGAACTCTCTTTCTCCCTCTCTCTTCCTTCTCTGGGCTGGCGGACGTGGCGGAACGTCGTAGGTCTGCACTCCACTTCTAATGACCACTACTGACTATTGGCGAGCTCTGGGGACCAATACTGACCAGTAGTGACCACTCGTGACAACTCGTGGGAACTGTTGACCACTACTGACCAGTGCCGAAATACCGCGTGTAACTATGTGTCAACAAGTAGTAAGTTCATTCCACTCATTTATATGTATTAGTACAAAATTTGTTTGTTTCTTTTATTCGATTGTACGGTGCCAATTGGATTTTGCCTGTCTATTCATTATTATGGATGTTTCTTTCGTCTTTTTCGACTTTTGACATCAACATCAAGTGAAAATGGTAATGAACTACCGTGTTGGTTCATTTTCATATTCGTTCCTACAATATTTCGTGAATTTTGATGACATCGATGGGAATATGATTTTCAGTTTTGTATTATTACTCGAATTCTCGTAACATTTCACAGAGATACTTTGTTCAATTGTTTGGTACTTTCTTTTTGACGTTATCTGTGAAATTGTTTCGACGTTTTAACTACACATGTGATAATAGAATTTTACCTAATCAGAAATTACTTGTTGCATAAAATGTGTTGAATCGTTATCTAGATAGATCGTCATTATTTTTCGATTATTCAGAATTTTTATTTTGTTTGTTGGTTAATTATAATTTTTATTTTGTCGATATTTGTGAATAATTTGATTTGTGGTTTATTACCATTTTCATTGTCTCAATACGTGCCTATTTTGTACATTTCTTTAGGTATGAATATTTCTAAATTTCGTAGCTTCTCCAGCTTATAGATTCTCATCTACTTCACTACATTCTTCGATACATCAGTTCACTAATTGCTTAGTTTCTTTAATATGATACTAATATAGGTATATGTGTTTTGTTTTAGGTTAGATCTATTACAGATCAATTGCAAGGACGTCGAGGAAAGACGTCACAACCGCCGAGGGATTCATCCGCCGAGGGACATATAATTCTTAGTCTATTAGATTTAAGCTTCGTCGTGAGCTTTAAAATTAACGTTGAAGATTTCTTTATTATACGTGTCTCCGCGTCCTACCAAGCAATTATTCAATAAGTAGCTTCTCTCTCGCTCGTTCCCTCGTTCCTAGCTCCGATCACCACTGTTTCATCGATTGAAACATGTGATCGGCCGTGTATCTGGTCCGAAAGATCTAATCGCCTTCCTTTGGTAACTCGATCGAGGGAAAATGGTACCTCGCTGGAAGGTGAGGAGCTTTCGTTTTCTGCGGAAACCTACACCTTTTAGCGGGAGTCGACCTTGTTTTAAGTACTCTCTCTTTGTCAGACAGCCGAAGTCGGGTCCTTCGGGCTCCCGGCGGGCTGCGTTGGAGAAATGGAGACCTCGATTCGGGGTTGCAGCCGTCCGTTTTCCTATAGAGATGGAGTTAGCAAGGGCAGTAGGTTCGATCCTCGGATCCGCTGCACGGTTCAGCGTCGCGTCGCGTCGCGTGCCCCTCAAATTAACTTCGTCCCTCTTTTTAACCAAATAATTGCTTGGTACAACTAAATCAGAACATCCAAGGAACTTTGTTTCCTTCTATCGTCCGAATTTTAGTTTTAACTTGACTAGACTTGAATTTCGACGTTAATTTTAAGTCTCTATCGTATGCGTCTCCCAATATTGCCAAGTAATTATTTAACAAGTAGCTTCTCTCGACTCGTTCTCTCGTCTTTCGCTTCGATCACCGCTGTTTCACCGATTGAAACATGTGGTCGGCCGTCCAGTTTGTCCGTAAGATCTAATCGTCTGCCCATGATAGATTAATTTCTAGAAATAGAAATCAATCTACCAAGGTCAGTGTCGATTCGATCCGAAGATCTGCTGTACGGTTCAGCATCGCGTATCCCACGATATAGCTTCATCCCTTTTTAAACGAAATAATTACTTGGTACAACTAAACTAGAAGATCGAAGGAACATTGCATCCTTCTATTTCTCTAGTTTAGTAATCTAGCTTGTAGGAATGTAAAAGGGAGATCGATGGAACTTTGATTCCATTTATCTCCTTTCGGGTCTCCACTCGCAGCAACCTCCACGTGATGAGACCTAGTAATCGGTGTTACCCACGATAAAAAAGCTTTTCTATCGTGGGTAACACCGAGCTAATGGCTGCGTATTTAGAATTGTTTTTTGATATAATAAACGAATTTAGATTTATAGTTAGGCAGGTGTTTGGTTAGGCATTATGTTACGCAGGTTATTTTTGTTTGAAGACAAATTCTTTTGAAAACTCTTTCAATTTTCCTCGTTGGTTGTGTATCTTTCAATGGTTGCACTTTCGTTTGTTTCTTCTTCGGCCAACGATCGTTGGTCACAGAAGATCTTTATTAATGGAGGGTGGTTGGGAACCGGTTAGGGCGGGTCTCCATTCGTAGCAACCTCCATGTGGTGAGACCTGAGTAATATTATTTAGCGTTTAATTAATAATCGTATCACTCTTAGCTGGGTAATGCAATTATTAATTAAAAACTAAATAATATTAGCAAATTGGCTGCGATCCGCTTTTCATAGATCATCATAAATATAGAGCTTCTTCGCTAGGTTAGTTTTGTTTCTCATTGAGTCATCAAAGATTCTAAAGTATTGTCAGATATGGGGTATACGAGTAGATCTTTCACCGAATGTACTTTTTTGGCCCATTTTTATGGGGTCTCGAAACCCCATTACCATTTTCGTGTCATTCGCAACGTTACCAACAGATTCAGAAATAAATTTTAATCCCTTCCATAGTCAACTCACATGTATTTACTCAAACACAACTGTTTGCCTATCAATACTAATTCAGTGAATAGTTTCTCAACTGACCGCCATCTATGGGAAGAGGACGCTAAAATCACCTTCGAATTTTCAGGTTGGTATGGCAGTCAGATTTGGCCTCGAAAGTCCATAAGGTGAAAGGTCTACTCGTATACCTCGTCTGTGGTGTAAGGTCTACTCGTATACCTTGTCTATGGTATTAGTATAAACGTATCTATTGAAATTTTCATTTGTTTTATATGTAATAAGTGTAAAAGTAATATGCTAAAAAATTGTTTTAATAAAAAATAATACAATTTATTTGTTATATGCAAAAAACTTAGAAAAACATACATTTTATATGTATATAATATTTAGAATATACTGCCCTATTGTCTTAACACCATATCGACCGATAGCCTATTAATCGGCTTTCTGTCGTCAACGCTTACCAACCGGTAGCTCATCAATGGGTTCTCATGAAAATAAAAAATATTACTAGATTTCATTATTCTATAACAGAACAATACAGTGAATACTTTCACAAACGATTTAACGTTTCTATAGGTGTAAGAAGAAGAATATATTCTAGCCTGGGGTCGACAACTACCGGTAGGTAAAGTGTTAAGCTGACCAGTTATTGGTACATTTATCTTACATTACTGCAGACGGGGCTGTACGACAGTAAAACTTTAAAAATGGCAATATAATAAACATTCCTTCCATATGAATAGAAGCACACATGCGTGATGACGTGAGTGTGATCGGTAGCAGAGTAAATCGCTGCTTCGTAGAATCCATATTACCGTGGCGGATGAATGACATTCGCGTGTGTGGAAATGCATGTGAAGAAGTAGTCGACCAGAAGGCGATAATATGGCCCTGGGACATTGATTGGTTGAATGATTCTGTCGCTGTGCATCTAATTAGGACGTTGGGTAAGAAAATATCTTAAAGATAATTTACAAAATAATTATGAGAGAAATGAAAATTTATATAATATAAGATGTGTTATAGTGGCAAAAGTATACCATTCTTCCACGAGAAGAAGACAGAACGTGTTTACATCCCCACTCCTGTTGCTGACTCATAGGTATTAGTCGAAAACGGTGACGAAGATCGTAGACAGCCAATCAAAGAACTGCAGCAAGAGTGGGGATGTTAACACGCTATGCCTTCTTCTCGTGGAAGGACGATACATGAGCAATTAATAACACTCATGGTTATAAGAAATCACGCGTAAGAGAAGCTAGTTTTATAATTTTAATCAAGATAACTAAATTACTTCTTAAAAGGAAAAGAGTAAAATATATGTATATGTAATTGTACGAAACACGTGGTGATAATGATCTTTATACAAGTAATACGCATTGGAGTTTGTTATGTATATAAATATGTCTTTTTATAGAAAGCAATAAGTAGGTACGAGTATAAGAACAGTGGTGATAATTATGCAATGAGATAGTTTAACGTATCTTATATGGCTCAATAGTAACCATTATGTGCTATTTTATATAAATTTCGTATTCAAGCATAATAAATGGTACAATAGTTGGCGCGATAAAGTATAATCTAAAAGCGAAATTAAAAGCTATTTCATTTTATGTGAAAAATTAATTTTCGTAAAATATACAGAAAATGGCATCTCTTTTGAAGCATTATTAATCGATCAAAAGAATTTATGCATCACGTAAAATTTATATTTATTATTAATAATAATATAGCTTGCCCTTTGGTCTAGGTTAGATCTGAATATATCTACTTTAAACACACCGAATGTTTCTTGTTTATATTTTTTTCGTTACGAATATACATGTAAGTTTTAAAACCGTTTCATAAATTATCTGAGTTATTTATTGTTTATACATTCCATATCTTCGCTAATAAATATTTACATATTGTATACGTGACAGATTATTGGATGTAAATGTTCAAATTCAAGTAAACTTATTTTTTAATTATATTTTAAATATGTATTTAGATTCGTTCATATGTTATTCATTGTTGGCAAATGAAACGCATGTTATTGATCACCTAGCGTGGAATGTTTTACTCCTAACATATTAATGTGTGTCACTTGGAAAAATATCATTTGCATAATTATACAAGGTGTTCGGCCATCCCTGGGACAAATTTTAATGGGAGATTCTAGAGGCCAAAATAAGACGAAAATCAAGAATACCAATTTGTTGATTGAGGCTTCGTTAAAAAGTTATTAACGTTTAAAGTTTAAAACACGCAGCTGTTCGCAGATTGCCGTCTCACATGCGGAACTTTAAACGTTAATAACTTTTTAACGAAGCCTCGATCAACAAATTGGTATTCTTGATTTTCGTCTTATTTTGGTCCCTAGAATCTCCCATTAAAATTTTTCCCAGGAGTGACTGAACACCGTGTATATCGTACCGTACAATTTGACATTGATTCTGTTAGATTTAAATTCACTTTCATACCGGCGGTTTTACATTTTGTAGCCGTTAAATCATGAAAAAGATTAATATATATGATACTTTTATGTATCGAGCATCGAATGTGTAAATTCATTTACTAATTCCTTATTAAACACAATTTACTGAAAACAATGGAATCCTTAACGACATCGATTGAAGAACATTATTTCACTTTTCGGTTAACACGTTAAACACCGATAAAATTTTCACATTGAACGATATGTTTCGCACATTTATAGTGGGAATACTGTACATGGCCATCTTGTGATGAAGCTACTATATCTAGATATCAACTTATTATTTTTAATGTTTTTACTAGAATTTGTATAATATGTCTTTACACAGTGTAACGATAACTGATCGGTGGGAATTATCATTTTCTAATAATAAAAATTGTAGAACTCGACAGCATTTTTTAACAAATCAAAAACATATTCCACTCGAAGTACTTTTATATTTATCTTGTAATGGCATTCCTTTATTTCTATAAGCAATAGAATATACTATTGAATCGAACTAATTCGATACAAATGTACTGCATGTTTCACGGTGTAATATGGCGTAAACGAGAAGATAAACTAAATTAGCTCGGTGTTTAACGTGTTAAATAAAGACGCTATGCTCGATGCAATAAATCGTCTATACCAATGTACAACAATAACATTATACATATATACATGTATATTTTAGATGTACGTATGTATATACAAATGTGATTTTAGTATAGAAAAATAGGAGATCAAAGTTTTGATTTGATTATGTTGATAAAACGGATCTGTGGGGTCCATTACCTCCCGTACTTGCCGCCAGAGGGACCGTTCCTCTCGCAAGCGCTCGATCGACCTTCCGTTTGTATGTACAAGTACGCTCCTCGACCAACTATCTCACATTTGATGTTTAAGACAGAGACTCTCCTTTCCTTTTTCATCTCTCTTCCACAGGACTCCACAGATCCACCGTTTTATGTTACATCGTATTTAGTTATTCGGGGATTGAAAGGAATCATTACAACGTTCTTATACATACGTCTCACTTGTGTTTCTCATTACAAAATACGGTTGATATTTCGCCCAAAAGGCAGCTTAATCCATTTCTTCCTCCTTTGTTTCGCTCTTGAATGTCAACGCACACGATAAAACTCAATACATTTAAGGTGCTGCTGAAATCTATCATGCTACATTCTGCACCTTGGTGTTACGCTTCAGATTTCACCGTAAAGCCTGCCTAATTGGCGTGTGTGTCTTCTTCTCAAAAACAATGCAGTACATAATCGGTCGCAATATGATAAGAATTTTCAACCATTATTGCTACGTGATGGCTTTCATAACATTAGCACCTACAGACTGCTAGGATTCTATGCCTAGCTTCCTGTATGTTTCTCGGTCCACCGTGACCAACCTACCCTCCACGCTCGAACAGTCCAGTTCGATACAGTGCAGCCGCGCGCCCCATTCACAATGGCTCTGATCATCCTGACGATAATATTTAATTTGCAGACAAGTGCTCAGGTAACCAGAACCCATGACACGCATCGCGATCGATAATTCTTCGCGATGTCCGCGTGCACTTGCCGATATACCCTTCGTGCTGTGGTAAGCGCTATAAGCGCAGGCTGTTCCATCTCTGGCGCGCTCGATCGTCTCCACTTGTTTTCCACCGATGGTCAGGGACCTGAAAATTGAATCATCGCATTTTGGGTGAGTCACATACGCACAGATCATTCTACAGGGTGTTCGGCCAACCCTGGGAAAATTTGTCGGCGAAAAAAAAAGTTGCAAATCGTTTTGGAAAAAATATTTTTGGCTGCGAGGGTCAATTACAATCATTTTTGGTGAATAGACATATCCTCAAAATCCTAACCAGTTTCGAGAAAAAAATTCAATAAGTGGATAAATTTTTCGACAAAATTAAAAAGATTTCAAATCATTCTAAAAAAATTATTTTTAGTTGCATGGGTCACTTACAATCATTTTTGGTCAATAGACATATACCCGAATTCCTACGCGTTTTTGAGAAAAACATTCCTTACCGAAAATATAATTTCAGGCACTCCAAAATTTCGTGCGTATCTTTAAAACGCCATAACTTCTGAATGGATTGGACGATTTTAACGTTTCAAAAAGCAAACTACGTGTATTTTGGTGAAGAGTATGTAGAAATTCCAAAAATATTCGAAATGTTGCTTCTTCATCCCGTAAAATGAAAAAAACCCCATAAAAATGGTCCAATTTTCAAACAGCTTTTTTCTGAAGTAGAGCTCATGGGTACCTACAAAAAAGTGTTAGACAACTTTTCTATAAGGCGTCAAACAAAATTACTAAAAATCAAAAACGAATTTTTAAGAAAAATCTACAAGAACAAATTTACCGACAAAATTAAAAAAATTCAAATCGTTCTAAAAAAATTATTTTCTGTTCCAGGGATCAATTACAATAATTTTTGGTGAATAGACATAGCCCCCAAAATCCTAACCATTTTCGAGAAAAAAATTCGAGTATGTTGTAATTTTTCGGCGAAAAAAAATTTCGTCAAATCGTTCTGGAAAAATTATTTTTAGTCGTGGGGGTAAAGTACAATCATTTTTGGTCAATAGATATACCACATAATTCCTACGCATTTTCGAGAAAAAAATTCTTAACCGAAACTATAATGTCTGACCATCCATTGATATGTTTCACTGAAATTTCATGCGTATCTTTAAAACATCATAACTTCTGAACGGATTGAAGGATTTTAATGTTTCAAAAAGCAATCAACGCGTATTTTAGTGAAGAATATGTAGAAATTCTAAAAATTTTGGAAAAGTTGCTCCTTGACCCCATAAAATGAGAAAACCCCCATAAAAGTGGTCCAATTTTCAATCGGCCATAACTTCTACAATAGTGAATGGATTTAATTGAAATTTAGTGGTGATGTAGAGCTCATGGACACCTACAAAAAAGTATGAATCAACATTTCCGTACAGCATCGAACAAATTGATTAAAAATGAAAAACGAGTTTTTAAGAAAAATCGACAGGGTGCCTAAATATTTCGACGAAATTGAACAGTTTCAGATTATTCTGGAAAAATTATTTTCAGTTGTAGAGATCAATAACAATTATTTTTGGTGAATAGACATGCCCCTGAAATCCTACGCATTTTCGAAGAAAAAATTTTGTTAATAACTTTTCAACGATGCCTCGATCAATAAATAGGTATTTTTGATTTTCGTCTTGGCTTCTAGAATCTCTCATTAAAATTTTCTACCGGGTGACCGACCATCCTGTATATAAAATCTAAAATATAATCTATATAAAATATATTTTGAACTACACAGTATCTACAGAAATGCACGGTTAAGTTTCATAAGATTCGTGGCCAACAGTGAACATTACGCGTACAGAGCGTATTTTTGTAGAAGTGAACACAAACATTGCTTAACAAAAAAAGAGAACGGTTACGACTATCTATCTATAAACAGTACAAATGCATTCTGTAGATTTTTCTAATTAGAATGAATCCAACCACGACATATATCAAACTACTTTTAATTGACTTGATACATGCAATATTACTTGATATGTACAGTGACTGCTTATTACTAAATCTATTTTATTCCAATTTTCTTTATCCGCGAAACTTTTTACACTAAATATTTGTATCGAACTTGTTTCTTTAAGAATATCCATGGTGTTCATTATTTAACAGAGTTGCTCAATTTCTTAAACCCATTATTATACTAAGCGATTATAGATAAACGATAATATAACTTTATCGCTCGAATTATGTTACATTTAACAATTTAAAATAACGAAATCAGCTAACATTTCCTGCGGAATTGATTTCGCATCAGGTTCGTTCGCTACTTTTTTAATATCAAAATTCTTGTGACCTAGGCATCGGGATTGTTCACAACGTTTCACCCTCCTATGGATTCCTGTATGCTTTAATTAATTGGAATATATTAATGAGTTGATAATAAGTGTTTTAATTGACACGTGCCGTGATATTGGAATCAGAACCTGAAAATTGCTACCTTGTATATTTACGCAAATTAATATTCAAATTAAACAACATTCGTTAATTAATGATGAACAATAAAAGCAGACTTTCGTTAGCAAATGGTAACTAAAAACACATGTTTGCTAACGGTATTTCTCATAAACGTGTTTTAAATGTTAATTTGGCCTATAATTACAATAAATGTCTGTACCTAACTACAAATTTAATATCTATTCAATAGACTAAGAAAAAATTCGAAGGATTTTATGAAACTAGAACAACTAACTCAGATTTCGATAATTTTTTCACATGTTGTAGAAACTAACATTTTGAACAACTTTTTCCCTAACGTGAGGACCGATATCGTAATCTAAGACCGACCAACGCTAAATTGAAGAAGAAAAAATTGTTGAAAATGTCGATTTTTACAATATATTAAAAAATCATCGAAATCTGAGTTCATATGTTCAGTACTTGGGCAATGTCCAGTGTTGTGTAACAAGGATTATTTACAATAATACTCTTTACTTGGTCAGTATTCACTTCCTGTGGCCAGTTAGAGCGTGTTGCATCTCGTTTGATCCATCACTATACAGAGTGGTCCACACAATTGTTTCAAATCATAACCTCGTTATTATTGCATTTACGGAAAAATGCCAAAGGAGAAAGATAAATGGTTCGAAGAGCACTACATCTGTAGGCCTTTAAATTTTTCTTAAATGCAGCAGTGCATGTGCAATTAACAATTGCATCATTTCTTTAAATAGAAATGCATATTTTTTTTTACATAGATCGATTCTTCTGTTCATTCTACGTAAAAAATGATTAGGGTACCATGGCGAAAAAATTATTAGATCTCGAGATATTTTCAAAAAATGTCTTTATTGAAGAAGATGCTCAAACGTTTCTCCATTACATTCTAAACATTTCTGATAACGTTTTTTTATTGTTTGCATAACTGCGTTTAAATTATCTGCAGTTATTGCTGCACATTCCAGTATGATTCTTTCTCTCAGATTCTCTACAGAATCTATGGGATTTGAATAAATTCTATCTTTCAAATAACTCCGCGGAAAAAAGTCAAGGGGACTTAAATCAGGTGAACGGGCTAGCCAACCTATCGATTTGTTGCGATAACGTTATTGCGAAACTTATTTTTTAGAAACCGCACTTTTTCGAATTCTTAGTTTTCGTACTCGAGTTACGATATGTGAATTGCTACTGAATGATGAAATACGTACTCGTACAAATCAGTTTCTGTTATGATAACAATGTCGAAAGGGTGTTTACCTTTACAACATAGTCATGAAGTGTTTGAGTATCTTCTTCGATAAAGACATTTTTTTAAAATATCTCGAGATCTAATAATTTTTTTGCCATGGTACCCTAATCATTTTATACGCAGAATGAACAGAAGAATCGATCTGTGTGAAAAAAAATATACATTTCTATTTAAGGAAATGATGCAATTGTTAATTGCACATGCACCGCTGCATCTAAAAAAAATTTTAAGGCCTACGGATATAGTGCTCTTCGAACCATTTATCTTTCTCCTTTGGCATTTTTTCGTAAATGCAATAATAACGGAGTTATAACTTGAAACAATTGCGTGGACCACCCTGTATGTATAAATCGGAATGGTTAATTCATTCGTTACGATCAATTGATCTGAAACGTAATTATGATAATATAAGATGGAGATAGCACGCATGAAAGTTTTAGAAGGTCTATAAACAGCTATACCAAATCATAATAACTAGAGATATTATCTTAATTTAGAAATTATACCATGCAGATTAGAAAACGCATTGTATATAAAATGCATTCGTACTATAACTTTATTTCTAGATTGCTTTTATAGAAGTGACGTAGTCTCCATGTAAACTATGTTTCTTATGATAATTAGTTTAAAAATATTCATGAAAGCCTAAGTCGACCTAGTGCGAACACCCAACACAGCTGACGGCATTACACTTCGATTTTATCTTACATACATGTATAAAGGTTTCATTATACAACGTTGCAAAACGCTTGCAAAGTAAAGATGCTAGTATAGTTAACCACGGTATTAATTAACACAGGTGTAGCGAGATCGTGGCTGTAATTAGTAAAACACCATGGATATCTAAGTTTACGCACACAATTAGAAAAACTGTATCTGTAAAATGATCAGTGATTGGTAAAAATATGTGATGTTTTGAGGTTGCAGCAGTGACTTCTCCGCTATTTTTGAGAAATTAGGCCTTCAAGACATTTTTACTTGAGAAATTAGGATACGGTCATTAAGGAACCTCCAAACTCCACATGGGACTTGGAATCCTTGGAGCTCTTCCTTGCCTCAATAGTGATTGACGTATCGTAAACCCGCGGTAGCGCACAGCTGCAGACCACCAGAGTCTTGTGGGTTTTGGCTTTCCTCAAAATGTTTATTTAAAAAGGGGCAACGTTCTCGCTCACCCTTGCATGGTGTATCTGGACACTGGACAGCAGGGTGGGCGGGAATGTTGCAGAAGGCAAGAAACACTCTGCCAAGGTGACGACTTTGAGGATTGGCTTGACCAATCCTCCCACCGGTTAGCGCTACGCGTTTTAGTCACCTTGATAGAGAGAGCCGAGGTTAGGTTAAGGGTAGATTAGGTTTTGGGATCAGATTAATTTTGACAGAGTTACGCCTTCACAGTTAGTCTC